CCAATGGGCGCCACAAATGTATAAAACAAATTTTATTGGATTTGAACGCGGAGTTTATTAATAGGTCGGAGCCGCTGATGTGGCTAATAAGTTCGATAAGTTCGAAAGGCTGCCGCTCAAGCAGCCTGCAGGGCAGCACGAGGTGGCAGCACAAGGTGGCAGCCTGCAGGGCAGCACACAAGGTGGCAGCCTGCAGGGCAACACACAAGGTGGCAGCCTGCAGGGCAGCACGAGGTGGCAGCACAAGGTGACAGCCTGCAGGGCAGCAGCACAAGGTGACAGCCTGCAGGGCAGTACACGAGGTGGCAGCCTGCAGGGCAGCACAAGGTGGCAGCCTGCAGCATTTTGCAGCAGCCGGATATCCGGTTATCCCGATTACCGACTTTCCCAAAATTTCAGGGGGGGCTCAGCCCCCCCCCCAGCCCCCTCTGTGGCTCCACCCCTGAGTATCACGAACAGTACTTGACAGTACCTGTCCTACGCTGTGGGTCAAGGCCACCACTGAAGAGTAGTGCTTCCCATATTAATTTAAGCAGCGAAACACGATGTTTTATATCATTACAATTATATGTAATGGATACTGTGATTGCCCTACTTTGTAATTGTCTTAATATATTAATTTATTGCTCAATATAGGCAATTTCCCAATACCAGGTACTGCCTATATTGGCAAATGAAGGATACCAAGTATTTATTTATCCATTGACGTGACAAGAATCAATAATTAAACGTGCATCTTTTTTTTATCCATTTGCCATACCTTTTCCGGATGAACTTCTCTCCACGCCATGTTGGTCACGGAGGTCGTCTGACCATACGGTTGCTGTCTTACCCGCGCACCTTCAATTGGCACAGTTGGCTACGTACGGTGCGGAAGAAGTTCAACATACGTGCATACTAAACCACCCGGCTAAGTGCACGTTGGAGAAAAGGGGGAGCCCAGGCCAGAAAGATAAAGATCGTGACTCCTCTTCGCCCTGGATGAGAATTGAACTCCGGTCTTTGGGTTCCACGGTACAGCTTTCTAATAACTGCATCGCCGCTCCACCCCGATTTAAAGCTCATTCATTTCAAGCAGCACAACTTACCTCGATGGGCAGTACAGGCGAGGTGAGATTCACTAAGGGTACCGACTTTTGTTCATTACACTGCCAATGGGTAATGAAATTGCAAACATGAATTATTGTTAAAGACTCGGCTCATGTGATTTGTTTTTGCATATCATAACCATTTGATTAAAAAAAACACTCACGTGAGGGTGGCAGGCATGCTACACACACACATCAGGACACTTTTAACACTCACTTGTAAAAGGGTTGTGTTTTATTCAATACACTTTAAATTTCCATCAGCTCATTCGCATTTAAGCCAGTGCCCAGAAAATGTGGGAGCCATGGAGGCAGACTAATGTTACATCATCTCTCTACAGGGGTAAAACACAAAACAGCCTCAAGACAGAGGGGGGGGGAGCACTTGGGAGGGCAATACATTTTAACAAAGGGAGCAACTCTCACACCAAACCAGTGAGGCTTATACATAGCTCATCCATAAGCCATTGTTCTGGTAGCACATTAAATAACTGAACATCAACGATTGTCGGAAACGAACTGCAGAACAGCAATAACGTTCAAAATGAATCTAAAAAAAACCAATGTGTTTGCATACCGCGTAATAACACGTAAACATGTCAAATCCTGGGCGACACTTTAGCGTCGCTGTGAACGCAACACCACCTTCTGAGCAGCACTTCCTCCCTTGACCTAGACTCGTGATTAGGCAGTGACAGCATTTACATGGATCCACCTCTGGTGAGAACAGCCTCACAATCCAGTCCAGGAAATTAAGTGAATCCATCAGCTAATAACGGTAGATCTTCTGGCAGGTAAAGTCACTTGGGTAAAGGCAAACAAATACAGTTTCATTCAATACAGTATTTCAAATGGAATTACCTAATTACCCAAGTAAGCAATGTTAGTTTAGAATATGCCACACCGCAACACCTTAGCTTGCTACCGTTTCTCATGGTAAATAGTTCTGAGACAAGATCATTTTCATCATAATTTTTACGGAGTGTAATACAATCCCTTCACAACAGAGATTCTGCTTGCGAAGGCCTGGTTTTCGTCTTTGCCAATCGAGCAATGAATCGTCTGATTTATCTTGTGAGAGGGAATCATGATGTACACCGTTGATTTTGATGGGGACTTAAGAGATTTGGAGGCATGATAACTGCTCCAATGGCGTTGGCTGCAGGTCAGCTGCACAAGTTATGAAGTCCTCGGATGAGCCAAGAGACCCCAATTCTTGTAATGCTTCACTTAAAGCAATTACTCACGTGTACTTAAATTAATGTTACGATATTCACATACCCCACAACATCTGGGTATATGAATCATTTGGCGGGACCCCGGGGTCCCCCCGCAAAACTCAGGTGAATAATTATTATTGTTGTTGTTGTTGTTCAGTGCGCCCCACTACGTGATCCCAACAGCAACGCGCCGCCCGCCCAGACTCGCACCAACAAGCGCCAGCAGCAGCAGCAGCAGCAGGCGGCGATCACCACGACGGGCGCCACCCCACCGGCCAAACGCGAGCCCCGGGGGGCGTCCGCCGCAGTCGCGTGCGGCGACGACGCCCTCCGGTCAGCCGTCGATCCTCAGCTTCTTTGCCAAGGCGAGTCCGCCCCCGCAGTGAATTTAACGTGTTTATGTAATTTTTCAACTTTTTACGAAACTTAGTATCCCCGAGCAGCTCTCGACGAGGCCAATCGATTGACACTAGTTTTGTTGTCGGTAAGGCAACAAGACTCGTGTCGCTACGCGGTTTTTCCCACCCCGGGGCAGTGATGGGACCCCGGGGTCCCGCCAATTGCTTCAATTTGTTTATTTACTTTTTAATCCAGGAAAGTAAAAAGATACACCAACCTTTTGCACAGAGATGAGGAAAAAGAAGTGGCAATGGGTATGATTGACCAGTGGCACCCCATGTGGACACATAGACACTCCAAACAAAACTCTCAAAGGGCAAAAGCCTGACCATTCAGTTACATGGGCCATCTTAAGGATATGTAATTAAATACAGAGGCACCTCCAATTACTGAATGGCTGTTTTCAGATTCAAGCGTTTAATACTACACTTAGTGAAACACATCTATCCAGAGAAGCCATACTTTAATTTATTTATACAACAAAGGAATTTTCAGCATTGCAATAATAACCCAAACATGTAAAAATCCATACGTGAAAACACCTACTAATGTTGGGCTGCAAGATGTGGACAATATTCTGGTTTAGCAAAAACTAAAGTAAAAAAACGACACCTCTTAAGATGACGCTGAAATGCAAAATTAATTATGTGCGCTGTCTGTAAACCTCTGTTTATAATCTGCCCAATAATTTGCACCTCCGATTAGCGCGGGCGCGGTTGGCTACATGCAGTTCAACATACAATCGACATAATTAGACCTTAATAAAGCTCCAAGTAAAATTGTTTAAACTGAGGTTTTTTGTTTGTTCTTGTGAACGGTCATTGTCCTGTCAAACCTACTTATGAATGAAGGCTCAAGGCTGAGTATTTTTCAATGACTGTTCACACACAAATGGGATTTAAATACCGAATGCGCAAATATAATCTGTTAAAAACTAAGAAAATAAATTATATTTTTCGATCTCTATTGCTTCTTGTTTTTGTAAATTCTTGCCCATGGTCCCCCTGAGGTTGATACTGGTATCATATGAACACTTCCATTACTGACATTAAACAAGTAAAAAACAACAGCTCACGTGCAATGCAGTTAGCAGAACAAACAACCTCTGACATTGTGAAAACATTTTACTTGATGGCAACTATTACAGTGAGGGAAAAAAGTATTTGATCCCCTGCTGACTTTGTACGTTTGCCCACTGACAAAGAAATGATCAGTCTATAATTTTAATGGTAGGTTTATTTGAACAGTGAGAGACAGAATAACAACAAAATCCAGAAAAACGCATGTCAAAAATGTGATCAATTGATTTGCATTTTAATGAGGGAAATAAGTATTTGACCCCTCTGCAAAACATGACTTAGTACTTGGTGGAAAAACCCTTGTTGGCAATCACAGAGGTCAGACGTTTCTTGTAGTTGGCCACCAGGTTTGCACACATCTCAGGAGGAATTTTGTCCCACTCCTCTTTGCAGATCTTCTCCAAGTCATTAAGGTTTCGAGGCTGACGTTTGGCAACTCGAACCTTCAGCTCCCTCCTCCAAACACGGCGAGTTGAGTTGATGCCAAAGAGCTCCATTTTGGTCTCATCTGACCACAACACTTTCACCCAGTTGTCCTCTGAATCATTCAGATGTTCATTGGCAAACTTCAGACGGGCATGTATATGTGCTTTCTTGAGCAGGGGGACCTTGCGGGCGCTGCAGGATTTCAGTCCTTCACGGCGTAATGTGTTACCAATTGTTTTCTTGGTGACTATGGTCCCAGCTGCCTTTTGATCATTGACAAGATCCTCCCGTGTAGTTCTGAGCTGATTCCTCACTGTTCTCATGATCATTGCAACTCCACGAGGTGAGATCTTGCATGGAGCCCCAGGCCGAGGGAGACTGACAGTTATTTTGTGTTTCTTCCATTTGCGAATAATCGCACCAACTGTTGTCACCTTCTCACCAAGCTGCTTGGCAATGGTCTTGTAGTCCATTCCAGCCTTGTGTAGGTCTACAATCTTCTCCCTGACATCCTTGGAGAGCTCTTTGGTCTTGGCCATGGTGGAGAGTTTGGAATCTGATTGATTGATTGCCTCTATGGACAAGTGTCTTTTATACAGGTAACAAGCTGAGATTAGGAGCACTCCCTTTAAGAGTGTGCTCCTAAACTCAGCTCGTTACCTGTATAAAAGACACCTGGGAGCCAGAAATCTTTCTGATTGAGAGGGGGTCAAATATTTATTTCCTCATTAAAATGCAAATCAATTTATAACATTTTTGACATGCGTTTTTCTGGATGTTGTTGTTGTTATTCTGTCTCTCACTGTTCAAATAAACCTACCATTAAAATTATAGACTGATCATTTCTTTGTCAGTGGGCAAACGTACAAAATCAGCAGGGGATCAAATACTTTTTTCCCTCACTGTATAACGTGGATAATTAAAGCCTAACCTGACGATTAACATCAAACACCATCGACCGTGACAAGGACATACGTGTCAGTGATGACTATATGCTTTGATCCATAACGTACCACAATACTGGCTCTGTAGCCAGCAGCTTCCGTCCAAAGACAGACAAAAGCGTCATGTCCTACACATGTGTAGGGAGAAGCAACAGCTGGGGCACACGTGATCAACACGAGTTTCGCTGCTCCTCTTTCACTTGCGTTTCCCACTCCTCCTGCTCCGTTTGACTTCCTCTCCCTGTGCTCGACCCTCCGCCCTCTTCCGTGTCTGTGGCACACACGTCCTCATTACCACCGCTCAGAACCGCACTACGGTGCATCGTTCCTGTGGGAAGGCAGTGTCAGCAGCATCTGTAGCAGATCTAATGCGTACCGAGGTGAGCCACAGTACACAAGAGAATTTGGATTGTTTATATCGTTCCAAAGCGTAATTGATTAAAGAATCCTGCCAACGCTTTCGGCACACTGCGCTACAAACCCGGCGACCCGAGTTCGATTCCCGCTCACAGCCAACGCCAGTGATAGATTACCTGAACCGGTCCTGGGCCTTTCCTAGGTTGACTCGGCCTCAACTGAGTACCTGGTGCGGCGTGTAAACATCGCCACTAGGGAGACAAAGGCGGTCGGGCGTGGTGCTGGTCACCCACCTCCCTCATGTGCCGTGCCGGCCTTCATAGGTCCTCGCTAACAGCACTTTCCCCAACAGTATGTTTTGTCTATACTCGGGGATCTTTGTCGTTGTATCTGATTGGACTTGCCGATGACAGGTACCAGCAGTGTTAAGATCGGCCTCTCCTGAGGATGAGGCTCGTGAAGGATGCCGCCGTGGAGTTGGAGGCAGTCGTCCCTCCAACAACAACGGAGTGCCGTGCAGCGCTGAGCGGCTAAGACGCAGAAAGTTAGCACAGGCGGTGCAATCTGCCAGTTGGTCACCTCATGCAAGACATGGGTACCTGTGTCTGTTCTGTGAGCACCTGCCAGCGGGCTTTCGACACTTCGCGTGGCCTCAAAGTGCACCTGGCATTGCACCAGCGGCGTGGGGACGTCACCGCCACTTTGTGATGAACGGCGGTTGTTGTTGTGTGCTGACCTTTTGTAGTTGTTTTTATTTAAATTGACGAAAACCTATCGGATTCTAGTCGAGTCCCGAGTCTGGGGAACTCACTCAGACTTTGGTAGAGAGTTGTAGCCGTCGCTACGCCAATAACTGTCGTCGACTCAAACGGAAAATGATTTTGCCAATTAATATTTTCATCGCAAATTTCGTTGACAAAATTAACGCTGCCCTGCGGGGCTGGTGCATTCAATCTGCATGGGTGGTGGAACAAACCTGCCAACGGATTCAACCTCCTGAACCAAGAATCAAACCCAGTGTCACTGGGCTGTTATAATTCTCACACTGTATTGACTCCTCCTCATTGTAAAAGTCTAAGCCTTCCGGTGCTCACAGAGGACGTTTGGCTACGTACGGTGCGAGATAAAGTTACCACACACATATACACGGAGCAATGGATGACTGTCAATTCAGCCGATAGCCCTAATTCAGCGGTGAAAGCTCCACATTACTAGAGTAGGGACCAGTCTCTACACAGGGTGACCTCAAGCCTTACAAAGCAGTGCTCACCGACTGATGGTGTCACTGTACAGAACGCGGCGCAACCGGTGGTGAAAGCACAGATGCGCGAGAGGATGCACTCACCGGACCAGGCGGGCTCCTGCTTGAGCGGCTGCCCCGTCAACTGGTGGCGCGTGCGCGGACGCGGCTCGTCCGCAGCCAGCGAGTGCTTCCACGAGGGTGGTTGAACACCGGTTGGCCCCTGGGACGGCTCATGAGGGTCAGGGGGCCCGTTGTGCCGTGGCGACGGGGCGTCTCCCGCATCACCGCACCCTCCACACCCCGGCGGCTCATCTGGAATGCAGGAATGAACCCGTCGCTTACGCACGTGGGCGCGGTGACGTCTTGTGCAGGCGAGATGGAAGCCCCCGCAGAATGCAGCGTTAGGCCAGGCGTGCGTCACTACAGCACTTGTGGCTCGAATGAATGCTGAATCAATACAGTTTGGCTTGCCACTTGCAAGCATATCTTGCCACCTTCTACCCCATGATGCCACCTACAGGCCAATCCTGCCACATACCTTAGCTATTGCAGAATGTTTTCTTTGTTATGCTTTTATATGATTTACAGTGTCTTTGTCAATCCACTACTAGATGAAGGCCACGGTGTGACATGGGACTTTGTTTAACCCTGCTTAAACACACTGGTCAGTTGTGGTTGTAAAGAGGGGGGTACCAGGACTGGTTAAGATATCATGCTCCAGTAATGCGAGCCATGATCAGAAATCAAACTCTGGTCACCGGGTATGTGCTATAGTGCATTAACTACAGTATCACTGCTCCACCCCCATAATGAACATCTGACAATATGGATGAATGTGCCTGTGCGCGTGTGAGCGATGCCCGGGTGCGGTCAAGGGATGGCTCCCTATTAGTCATCCATGTTATGTACGCCGATGATCTGGTAATTGCTGCTCGCTCAGAGGAGGAGTTGGAGGCGCTGCTGCTGAACCTGGAGCGTGCCACTAAGAGGTGGGGCCTTACTATCAGCCCCACCAAAAACTTAGCACCTGCCTGGATTACATACCATCAGTCACTCCACCACAACTCCCAATTGGTGATGGGGCAGTTGTGGAGAGAGTGGAGAATTTCCCATCCCTGGGCAGTGTGCTCATGACCGGCTCCAGTTGGACAGCAGAGGTCTCACTCCGAATCAGTTGAGCGGCATTATCTTTTACTCGGTTGCATAACGCTGTGTGGAATCTACCTGGTCTGTCGCTCCGCACTAAGCTTCAGGTCTTCTCAGCCACGGTCATTCCCTCCCTTCTCTATGCTTGCGAAACGTGGACCCCCCTAATGGAACATCTTCACCGGTTAGAAACATTTAGGCTGGCCTGCCTACGATCCATCCTGGGTTTAACCAGGCTGGATTGTGTGAGGAGCTCACAAATCCTTGAAAGATCTGGACAAAGTCCCAACGATGAGCTCCTCTGGCAGGCAAGGCTGCGTTGGCTGGGTCGAGGAGCCCACATGCCCAGCCACCACATGCCTAAACAGCTTTTGTTCGGCCGGATAGAGCGGGCTAAACGGGAGCGGCACAGGCTAGAGAAGAGATGGATTGATGTGGTACAGGAGGACGTGGAGCTGAGTGGACTTGCCGATGACTGGTACCAGCGGTGTCACGATCGGCCTCTGTGGAGGAGGCTCGTGAAGGACGCTACTGGGCAGTTGGAGGCAGTCGCCCTCCAACAGCAACGGAGGGCGGAGGAACGACGCTCACAACAACGAGCGTAGGGGCCGTGTGGCTAAAGCACAACAAGTTGGCACAGCTGGGGGCACAGGTGGTGCATCAGCCAGTCATCTCAGTCATCTTAGTCAGCCGACCCGTACACTTGGGTCTGCCCCGTGACCTCCTGCCAGCGGGCGTTCGACACTTCACGTGGCCTCAAGGTGCACATGGCCTGGCACAAGCGTCGTGGTGACGTCACCGCCACTTAGTGGAGAATGGCGGTTGTTGTTGTTGTTGTGTAATGAGTGGGGAGCGATAGTGCAACGGTTAGCGCGCTATGCTACAAACTCGGCGATCACTAGTTCTATTCCCGCTCACCGCCAACACCAGTGACAATCATCTGAACCAGTCACGGGCCTCCCCTAGGTCGACTCAGCCTCAAATGAGTACCAGATGTGTAAACATCGCCACTGGGGAGACAAATGTGGCCGGATGTGGTGTTGGCCATCCACCCCCTCGTGCGCTGTGCCTGCCTTCACAGGTGCTCGCTAACAGGGTGCTGCTGCATGTGTGTGAGCGTGTCCGTATGTGTGTGTGTGCGAGAGGATGCCTGTGTGTATGAGATTGCTGCCATGTGTCTGTGAGCATGAGCATTTTGGTGTTGGCCGTGCCGGTGCACAGCTCACGGCGCATCTCGTCCCCGCTGCTGTCTGTGTCGCCGTAATCTTCCCCATCGTCGTCGCTTGCTGTGCCGTGGCTGCGTGCCTTCGCCTGAAAGTAGCGGTCGGAGCGACGCTGCTTCTTGATGAGATCGGTCTGCTCCTGGATGAGGGACAGCTGCTCCATGGTCACCTGCTCCAACTCCGCCTATAGCACGAACATATGCAGGCACACACACACACACACACGTAAACAAAGACCCTACCCTCCCCCCCCGTGTAAAAACACAGGCTGTTGGGGAAAGTGCTGTTAGCGAGCACCTATGAAGGTTGCCAAGGTGCATGAGGGGGTGGAGTGACCAGAACCAAATCCCTGCTATCTTAACTGTGCTGACGTTTGCACAGGTAATAATTTAAGGCTGAGTCAACCTATGGAAGGCCCAAGCACAATTCAGATATTTGCCACTGATGTTAGCTTTGACCAGGAATCAAGCTTGGGTTACTGAGTTGGTAGAGCAGTGTGGTGTTACGCTACCACACCCCATACACATAAATGTACATGCCTTCACACATCACAAGGATGTGTACACCCACAGATATGCAGACACACACTTGCATGGACATGCACACATGCATGCGCACACACAAGCGCATAAGCACGCGGAGGTGCTAACACATGTTTGTGAGCACACAGACGTGCATACACATGCACTCAACGTAAGGCACACAGGCTACAGTTAAAAGATTGCGGAACATTTCAACGTGAATTGTTTACAGACAGTACTCTCTTCTGTACACTACAGTTTAGCTGGGAGAGGAGACACACGCGTGTTTGCTGGGGGGTGCGCCTATTAGGCCTGTTTCCGCATGCCAACATGCCCCTTTCAACCTCAAGGATCCAACAACCACCACTACCGAAGGTGAGCGATTGACGCATTTCGATTTAAAGCTTTCATGACTGCAGGGATTCATATTCTTGGTTCTTTCGGTAAAGTCACCACGCAGAAGGGAAATAATAAAGTAATATAAGTAAATATTTCAGTATGTTTTATTTGCATTATTTCATTATTTCCCTTCTACGTGGTGACTTCACCGAAAGAACCAAGACTACGATTGACACGTGTTTGTGCAGTACCACGTCACGCTTTGAAACGGCGGCCACGCGGCTCAAGAGGACCGAGCCGGCAACGTTAAAAATCCCGAGTTCAACTCCGAGCAACTGCACGTGATTAAACCAGCAGTGACTGCCAAAAATCAAAACGTTTGGATTTCACTTAATTTCGAATATTTTAAGCTGAGAATGGGTGTGCACCCCGAGTTTGGGTATTAAGCAACGGATGGGCTCTCGGAAATTGTGATATCGTATTATATCTTATGTCTAACATGGGATGATGCACTGCTCTCTATGAGAGTTCCAAGTGGAAGATTCTACATGTATAACGTGACATTGATAGCGCAATTGTACCATAATTGAACAGACAAATACAAAACAGAGATTACCACCAGATCGTGATGAGTATCACCAACGTATTGGTGCTATTATACTCTTTGGTTCTATTCGGTAAAGTCACGTAGGTAAAAAATAAAACAACAAAAATCACGACGTTTCGGCCACAACACAAGCAGCCTTCATCAGGTGAAGGGACCAGACTGTCTCGAGGACAGAGCGTGGCTGTGTTTCACTCCAGCGCTGTCCTCGAGATAGTCTGGTCCCTTCACCTGATGAAGGCCGCTTGTGTTGTGGCTGAAACGTCGTGATTTTTGTCATTTTATTTTTTACCTACGTGACTTTACCGAATAGAACCAAAGAGTATGGATCCTTGCAGTCACGAAAGCTTCAAATCTAGAATTGGTGCTATTATGTTAAAATGCAAAGCAAGAAAACTGGCTAATACATTCGAGTACTTAGTTGAGGAGCTCAAGACTACGCGAGTGGACAGGACAAGCTCAGAGGTGGAGTCCTCTTGAGTGAAAACACAGCAGGGCTGGGCTGTGTTGCAACAGAGCTGAGCTCCGGGCCGGGCAGTGTCCCCTTGACATTGCTGCTCACCTGAAAGCTATGTGCAGAACTCAGGTCCTGCTTGTCCTGGGCTTCGTGCATGCGCTGCTTCAGGCCGTCCTGCTTGAGTGGGATGGCTCTCAGGGCCTCCTGCACCTCCACCATGCGGTCCTGCACACAGGAGGCATGCGGTCTTCTCTCCCACTCCTCCCCCCATTGGTCTCCTCTTCCCCTGTGGCCATATGGCTTCAAAGTGCAGGAGGTTACCACACGTTAACCCAAAAGAAATCAAACACAAGTGTAAGTTTACTGTCAAGCGAACATACATGAATGTGGATGAAAAAAAACTTGCCACGTGTTCAACAAACGCATCCATATTGGCCAGGGCACAAGCTGGTACCACCTGGGATGGCCAAACTTACGTTAAACAAATGTCTTTACACAGCTAAAAATATATATATATATTCACATGTGACAACGTGTACAATTTTCATTACATCTCAATTCCATCACTGTCTATAGGCCTTTTGAACAACTTAGCTACGTTTTGCCACGAAAGGTGGTGCCGACAAGTTTAAACACATTTGGGAACGTGTATTATCTTGGTTAGGCAAACCACGTGGGATCACACACACACACAAACACCTGTCTCTTGAGCTTCGTGATCTGAGCCTGCAGGGTGCGGGAGGTCGAAGTCTCTTGGCATGAGGCAGGGATGACCCCAGCTTCTATGCGAGGCCTCTTGCAGACTGGGCCCTCCACTGGCCGGACCCGGCTGAGCGTGAACAAGCACAAGCAAGCACGAATGAGTGGACATTGCCAAGGGAGACAAAGCAGACAGCGGCAGGCAAACACTGTGTCATTAGGCCCACAGCTTGGACTCCCAGATGTTGCCCATGCCACAACGCACATAGCACTCGTTGAGCCAGAGTCGACCTTGTGATAATATTTAGTTTTTAAAATGTGTCATTTTTGCAAACCGCATCGCACAAATGCTGCACGATCCACAAACACACGGCAGTGCACACGTAGAGGAGTGCCGCGGGGACTCAAGGAGGGGCAACCGCGGGAAAGGGGCCAAGCAAAAAGGGGAGTGCCAGAAGGGCGAGAGAGAGAGGGGGGTAAGTAGAGAGAGTGAGATGTCTACTAGTGGGGGGAGCCAGGTAGGAAGGGGGTAAGTAGAGAGAGTGAGACGTCTACTAGTGGGGGGGATCCAGGTAGAAGGGGGGTAAGTAGAGAGTGAGACGTCTACTAGTGGGGGGAACCAGGTAGAAGGAGGCTGAGTAGAGAGTGAGACGTCTACTAGTGGGGGGATCCAGGTAGAAGGGGGGTAAGTAGAGAGTGAGACGTCTACTAGTGGGGGGAGCCAGGTAGAAGGAGGCTGAGTAGAGAGTGAGACGTCTACTAGTGGGGGGAGCCAGGTAGGAGGAGGGTAAGTAGAGAGTGAGACGTCTACTAGTGGGGGGAGCCAGGTAGAAGGAGGGTGAGTAGAGAGTGAGACGTCTACTAGTGGGGGGAGCCAGGTAGAAGGGGGGTAAGTAGAGAGAGAGACGTCTACTAGTGGGGGGAGCCAGGTAGAAGGAGGCTGAGTAGAGAGTGAGACGTCTACTAGTGGGGGGAGCCAGGTAGGTGGGGGGTAAGTAGAGAGTGAGACGTCTACTAGTGGGGGGAGCCAGGTAGAAGGAGGCTGAGTAGAGAGTGAGACGTCTACTAGTGGGGGGAGCCAGGTAGGAGGAGGGTAAGTAGAGAGTGAGACGTCTACTAGTGGGGGGAGCCAGGTAGAAGGAGGGTGAGTAGAGAGTGAGCCGTCTACTAGTGGGGGGAGCCAGGTAGAAGGGGGGTAAGTAGAGAGAGAGACGTCTACTAGTGGGGGGAGCCAGGTAGAAGGAGGCTGAGTAGAGAGTGAGACATCTACTAGTGGGGGGAGCCAGGTAGGAGGGGGGTAAGTAGAGAGTGTGACGTCTACTAGTGGGGGGAGCCAGGTAGGAGGAGGGTGAGTAGAGAGTGAGACGTCTACTAGTGGGGGGAGCCAGGTAGAAGGAGGCTGAGTAGAGAGTGAGACGTCTACTAGTGGGGGGAGCCAGGTAGGAGGGGGCTGAGTAGAGAGTGAGACGTCTACTAGTGGGGGGAGCCAGGTAGAAGGAGGCTGAGTAGAGAGTGAGACATCTACTAGTGGGGGGAGCCAGGTAGGAGGGGGGTAAGTAGAGAGTGTGACGTCTACTAGTGGGGGGAGCCAGGTAGAAGGAGGGTGAGTAGAGAGTGAGACGTCTACTAGTGGGGGGAGCCAGGTAGAAGGGAGGGGCCCGGGCTAAGGGGATAAAAGGGGAATCTGGACGGAAGGGGAGGGGTGAGAGACAAAGGAGAGAGAGAGGAGCCAGGTAGCAGGTAGAAAGGCTCCTGGGCCGGAGAGACAAAGGAGGCTACGGGTGGAAGAGTACGGGAAGGGGTTGCCTGGACGTAGGTCGAGGGAGTCGGGAGAGAGGGCTAAGGGACAGGGAGCAGTGAGTGACCCGCGACGGAACGAAGAGTGCGGATGTTGGTGTGATTAAATGGCAAGCAGCCCTGAATATTTAACCCTGGTCTCCGTCTGAGTCTACAATCCCACAGGGCATCAAGAAGCCCGGTCTCTACACATATATGAAGATGTATTTAGCCAAGTTATGACCGTTTATGCATGTGGGAAGAAACCAGAACACCTGGATGAGACAACACTATCCTATTACAGATGGGACAGATGGAGATTAGTCAACATTAGCTGTACCGCCCTGTCCTGGCGACCCAGGCACCTCGACATCCCACGGGAAGGGAGTTTCACCACATCTGTGTGATCCATTGACCCTCACCTCCACACTTCTGGATTAAAAGCGTGCATAGTCACCACTGCCACAGAAGTGGCTCGGGATAGGTTCACATTCAAACAGATGGAGCTTGTGTAAGCCCTGGGCTGTTGGATCAAGACAAAAAACATTTTTTGGGGTATGAATCTTATGGCGGGACCCCAGGGTCCTGAATAAACGGAAGTTAAAATCGTAATTAATTAAAATTTCGTTTTAAAGCTTTCGTGACTGCAGGGATTCATATTCTTGGTTCTTTCGGTAAAGTCACGTAAAAGGGAAATAATAAAATTAAATAAATATATATTTTTATTTCCCTTCTACGTGACTTTACCGAAAGAACCAAGAATACATATTAATTTAATTTATTTATTTTTGGCGACTCCGTCCCACCGCGCACATAAACGCCTCGACCCACCTGGCGCGGATTATTATTTTGTCATGTCGTTGCCAAAATTGCCGTAAGGTTCATTCGTGAATTTCCATTCATGTTTTTGTTACCTTTCTGCTGCAAAATATTTGCATAAACAAGAGCACAGTATTCTTAGCTCTTTCGGTAAAGTCACGTTGAAGGGAAACAATAAAATATATATATTTTATTATTTTATTGTTTCCCTTCAACGTGACTTTACCGAAAGAGCTAAGAATATGAATTACTGCAGTCACGAAAGCTTTAAATAAAAAAAGAGCACAGTACTTTCAGAGCAAGGGCCTGTGAATCATACACATCTATCAATCTCCCAAAGCTGCTGGCATGCGAGGTGTCCAAAGGCTGTACCGCAATTGGGTTCTTAAAATCGATCCGTGCAGAGCGTTGACTATTATTCCCTCTAATGGATGGGTTTTCTCCAAATACTCCAGTTTCCTCCCATGTTCCAAACACTCATACACATTCAATAGGCTAAACATCCCAATACGGGACCCTCCTGTAAAAGTCGTGAGGCTCAAAAAGCCATTCTAGTTAACCAAAGTTATAGTTTAGGTGCGTGCACGTGCGCATGTATGGTTGTGTGAGCGGGCATTCCAGGAAAAGCATTGGGCAGAGACGATCTCCCAAGCCAAATGCATCTGTGTGCACATTGCCCTACGTGACATAATTACAACTCTCTGGACCACAGGACGGGGTTTCCCCAGGATCGGAAGGATGCCCTGGTGATCTCCCCTCTTTAAATGGGGACCGCACTGATTGTTACGACCTCCACACCGATGACCTAATTGGTTCCTGTAGGACGATCGTAAGTCGAACCCTCGTGTTTCCCAGAGGGCGCAATGTTATACATTGGGATCCGTTCCTGGGAAACCCATTACATACCATAAAAATGCCAAAACTGACCACTAAAATTTATTAAAATAACCCTGATTTAAAGCTTTCGTGACTGCAAGGATTAATATTCTTGGTTCTACTCTTTGTTTTTTCTCGGTAATGTCACGTATAAATAAGAAATAATAAAATAACATTATAGCGTACGACGTTTCGGTTGCAACACAAGCAGCCATCATCAGGTACAGAAGAGCTACATTTACGAGAGAGGGGAGACACACATAACCCCAGATGTATACACAGACACCCAAGTAGGGGGGAACTAACACAGACACAACAGGGGACACAGAGAGAGAAGCATTCCCTGTTGTATCTATGTTAGTTCCCCCTACTTGGGTGTCTGTATATACATCTGGGGTTATGTGTTTCCTCTCTCTCGTAAATTTAGCTCTTCTGTACCTGATGATGGCTGCTTGTGTTGCAACCGAAACGTCGTACGCTATTATGTTATTTTATTATTTCTTATTTATACGTGACTTTACCGAAAAAAAAAACAAAGAGTAATTCCTGCAGTCACGAAAGCTTCGAATCATTCTTGGTTCTTTCGGTAAAGTCACGTAGAAGGGAAACAATAAAAATAATCTAAAACAATAAAATCCTCACGACGTTTCGACTGCAACACAAGCAATCATTATCAGGTGTGAAAACCACAGCGAGAAAAATTTGACAAAAAAAAAATTTCTTGCTGTGGTTTTCACACCTGACGACGATTGTCAAAACGTCGCGGATAATTTTATTGTTTTATATTTTTATTACTTCATTGTTTCCCTTCTACGTGACTTTACCGAAAGAACCAAGAATACAAATATAACCCTCACAGACATTTATTGTAACTTAACGTAACTTTTACAGACATTCATTAAGCAAAAAAACAAACACCCTCATTTGAACATCCTCAAGTACTTTTCTGCATGTGCATCGCACCTCCTCTTCTCAGACATAGCAAAAAGGTGAAACATTTTCTAGATTTGAAGAAAATGTACCAAAAAAGTGAAGAGCATTGTGAAAGAGATCCGTTCACTCGAGGCGCAACTGCAGACTGTTGGGCCGAACTGGACATAGGCACACGGCGGAAGAGCAAAGCAGCGCCATCAGGCGACGAGTCCGCACATTATGGCGTCACCGTCACTTTGTGGAGAATGGCGAGTATTGGTATGTGGGGATACACAACGGAGTGGAACGGTCGTGTAGCGGCCGGCTCCCCGCACTACGAACCCGGCGACCCGAGTTTCAATTCTCGCTCACGGTCAAACCAGTGACAATTATCTGAACCGGTCTTGGGCCTCTCCTAGGTCGACCCAGCTTCAAATGAGTACCTGGTTCGGTGTTTAAACATTGCCACTAGGGAGACAAAGGCGACGTGGGCAATGGTGTTGGCCACCCACCCCCTGCTGGGCTTCATACAGTCGAAGGCTTTAGGTGGGGGTCTTTGCGTTTCTACGTGGGCATGTGTGCATGCACACATCTGTGTGTGCGTTCTAGTAATTGGGTAAATGTGCGTGATAAATGTGTGCCTGCAGCTTGAGTACCTGGAGTAGCGTTGGCTGTACTTGTATCCGGACTCACGCACAACCTGACGAGCAAGCGGGAAGAGCTCGTCCCGGCGCGTAAGCAGCGACATGTCCAGCAGACACAGCTGGCATGCAGCTTCGTTCACACTCAACTGCCCGTGGCACACAAAACACACAGCACCCCATCATTCAGACCATCAGGGCGTGTAGATGAGAGCATCTATTAGTGTTAGAATGGCACACACACACACACACACGCGCATAGCCGGCCAATTTTTGTTTCCTTCATTACTCATAAACCATACTCAAGAAGAACTCCTCATAACTGCATCCCCCATTATTCGTGACTCCTATTATCTGCGGGACTTATAAGGTCCACGAAAACTCGTGATCTACTTCCACATTGTTCCCATTACCTCATTATCCACTTTTTTCCCCCCTTGTAGTAAATTCACAGACAACATTGCGGATAACAGGATGCGCAATGTTAATTATCCACATTACCCACGGATAAGAGGAGCTCTACTTTAGAGGTACTCGGTCATGAGTCGTTTAACTCTGGACCCAGGATAAGCCCACGAGACCAATTTCCAATGCCAGCGTAGTTGAAACCGTGTCACCAGAATTGCAATGTAGATGTAAACCACCATGCCACCATTCACAACGCTGAATCGCATATGGATGCGCATACGTCACAAATAAGCCCACCGCACATACATTTATCACTGTTAAGGTTCAACTGTGAAATTAAGAAATTGATATGTATATATAGTGCAGTGTGTGATTTGTTAATTAAGTTTCATTTAATCAAATCTTACTTTGAAAAACAAGTATTTCTTGGAATCAAACTTCAGAGTGCATTGGCAATGATGGATAAGCAAAGGCATGAAAAGCTTTACTTTCATTTATTATTATAAGAGCTAACATAGTTGTAAAATGGCAATATATAAGGAAAGGACAAATGGTGATTGTTGATTAATTATTTCCAGTGGTTTCTTTATACATTACTGGCTTGACTACCCGGCTTCGCCCGGGACTTGGATTCACCATGCCCGGCCACCATTGTCTCCCCAGTGGCGATGCTCACACACCACACCAGTTACTCGTTTGAGGCTGAGTCGACCTAGGGGAGGCCCAGGACCGGTTCAATAATCGTCACCGGTGGTGGCCGTGAGTGGGAATCAAACTCGGGTAGCCGGGTTCGTAGCACTTTGCGCTAACCACTACACTACAATGCGTTACGTTTCCACACAAAGACAAAGACAAAGATCCCCCGTGTAGCCTTAACAGACTGTAGGGGCAAGTGCTGTTAGCGAGCACCTATGAAGGCCGGAACGGTACACGAGGGGGTGGGTGGCCAGCACCACGCCCGACCGCCTTTGTCTCCCCAGTGGCAATGTTTACACACCGCACCAGGTACTCATTTGAGGCTGAGTCGACCTAGGGGAGGCCCAGGACCGGTTCAGATAATCGTCACTGGTGTTAGCCGTGAGCGGGAATCGAACTCGGGTCGCCAGGTTCATAGCGCAGCGCGCTAACCGCTACACTATCGCTCCCCACACACACACAGACACACAGACACACACAGACAGACACACACACAGACACACACACAGACAGACACACAGACACATACACAGCGCGCTAACCACTACACTACAATGCGTTACGCTTCCACATGCGCGGGTCACGTGACAGATTTGATGTCACAGCTCACTTGCCGTGCAAAAAATAGATGCATTATTGAGCTCCCCCCCCCCCCCCAAAAAAAAGTGTATTTTAATAATTTTTGCATGGTGTACAGTCTGGAAAGTACCCACATGGCAAATTTCAAGTTTGTTGCATGTCGGGAAGTACGCTAAACATTTTGAACAGACACACATAATCACAACTTTGCCTTTTATACATATGGAGATAAGTACAGCTACCAATAACATACAAGAGTTTGAAAATAAGTATCAAGACATAAATGTGTGTCTCTATTCAGTGAATAATGAGGGATAACAGGACAATGGTAAGCGCACTGTGCTATGACCCTGGTGACTCAAGTTCCATTCTAAACCATGGCTAACAGTGAGTGATATTTGAACTTTGGTCCTTATGCCCAACATTGCATGCATTCAGCAGCATACTGACAAAGGGGTTGCAATTTATTAGTAATATTATATAAGGGGAGAAGTAATAAGAACGGGGTTTCCAGTTATTTCTTTACGTTATAACACATTGGGATGTATTAGGTGACGTTTAAAAATGCGAAACCTAAAACATTCAAATTGACAAATTACGAACTGAAATATCAAATTCTCAAAATAAACATTTCGAGAAAGTAATTAGTTGAAAGCTGAAACAAGAAGCAGACATGTCTGAAGTATTTATTTGACGAGGCTGGGTCCCACTACGATACAGCAGTGTTCTTTTCAGGGGAGACTTGAAGGAAATATAATTTCACAAAAACACTAAAATATTTGCAAGCACTTTACATGCAATCAAGCTGCAAACAACAGATGTTTTCTCCACTTCAAGGCAATGTCGTGTGACAACATCAATGATGGAGAGGAAAATGCTGGACATGGTGGCCAAGTGCAACGCACTCCGAAGCAATCAATCTCAATGTGGCATGGAAGATTGTCCTGAATTAATAATTGTAATGAATTTTCATTGAAAATTTGCACAGTTGTGCTAATGATTCCGTTAATTGCAAATGTTAAAACACTGCAGCACAACAGCATTGTAGAACACTCCCCCCCCCCCTTTATATATTAGGTACTACAGCATCTTTGTTATTCCACTGCTGGATGAAGACTTTTGCCATGCCATGTCAGTGATGGGGTCATTTAATCACCACGTTGGTCAGTGTGGTTTGAAGGGGGTGTGGCCAGGACCGGTTCAGATATTATTCGCCCACTGATGCTATAGCCGTGAGAAGGCATAAAACTTACGGTCGCCAGGTTCGTAGAGTAATACACGGCCGCACCACCATTCCACGAACAAAGGGGGTCACTGCATCACGCGCTTTCAGATGCGCTTCTGCGGCCGTCTGGAACGCTCTTCCTTCCGATATTAGAAAGCCACTGGAGCTAAGCACTTTTAAATCTAGATTAAAATTAATTTCTTTAGCATGGTTGGCTACGTACAGTGCGCAATAAGTTCAACATACATACATACAATGCAAGAGACGTATTAGCCAATCAGATGGTAGGATTTAGAATAGTCACATGATCTCATTCATTTTATTGAGTCACAATAACATATTGGTCTCTTCTCGTGATTGGTCACAGACTGCTGTGTTCTCATACCTTTTTTTACGCTGTTAATTTCTTGGATTTTAAAGATGTTTGTGTGGGTCATAATATTAAGCGATTTAGAGATGTGAATTGCACGAATGATGCTTTATGAAATCAAGTTATTATATTAAGTGGTACGCTTTGCTTCTTTCGGTAAAGTCACGTATTTTATTTCTACCTACGTGACTTTACCGAAAGAACCAAAGAGTATGGATTCCTGCAGTAACGAAAGCTTCAAATCAAGTTATTACATCAAGTGGTCTTCCATCATTGTACACCTGCTCCTGCATTGACAACGAATACACTTCTGATCAGGTAAAAATGAATTATACACCATCACACACACCAATTATGAATCCACGTTATTCTATATGTAACGTAGATGCACTGAGTGCAGTTTTTGTGTTCGCTGCAAACAAGCAGCACAAATTACAATTACAGTACCGTACTGTGGTGCCGAGCACTGTAGAATAGTGCAGTCTCTTGTCAGTTCACGCCAAATCAAAGTACTACTGTAAGGGCCAAGGTTTGCCACTGGGTCGAAGTGTAATAACATACGCGGGCTGGTCCACCTTCCCCGGCACCTCCTGTTAGCGCGGCTGGCCACACACAGTGCGGGGAGAAGTTCAACATACATCCGTATGTACCTCGTGCTGCGTGAGCTGCTTGCCATCCTTACGGCGCGAGTCAAAGCGGCCGTAGATGGCGCTGAACTTGCGGATCTCGTCCTCGCGCCTCTCGTCGCCATCGTCCATCTCAAAGATGTGCCCCATGTGGGCGGCCATCTTCTTGTTGGCGCGCAGCACCTCCTGCACCTCGGCTCGTTCCAGCGGCCGGTGAGCGGGCCCCAGCGCCTGGGCGGAACACTCCGTGATGATGCGCCGCGTCTCGGGATCCAGCTCGCCGCCTGGGCCATCCCCGTCGCCCGAGGAACCGGCCGACAACGCGCCGTCGTCCGTGGCGCCCGCGGCGTTGCCCCCGCCAACACCGCATACGCCCGTGTCGGCGACGTCCCCCGGCCAAGCTGCTCTCGTGGAGCCATGTGTCAGTCCATTCTCTCTGCCAAAACTATTACCACCTCCGTTGCTACCACTGCCACAACCGGTATTGGCAATGGTGCTAGTAATGATCCCGAGACTGCTGCTGCTGCTGCTGCTGCCGCTGTTGCTGTTGACCCTGCAAGCATTGCTTGCGACAGACGCCGGCGTGTTTCGCGCGGTGCACGACACAGAGCCGGAGACGGAAGGTAGGCACTGTTTGGCATTGCTCGATGCCACGCCCATCGCTGTGACGCCAGGATTTGGCGCCAGGTGTTGCTTGCCGGTGGTGGTGGTGGTGGTGGTGCTGGAAACGCTTTTGTGATTTTCCACAACAACGCGCGTGCTCGCTCCTGCGCTGGCGGAGCCAGTCGTGGCCTGCTTCGGGCCAAGATTCAGGCCTTCGGTGGCAGTGGCAGTTGTGATGTTGGAGATCTTGGAGATGGGGATGCTGGCACAAGCAAACGCCGGCAGAACCTGACTGAATACAGAAGGGTTGTTAACCCACTCCTGCAGGGCCTTCTGCAGACGGCGCACATGAAGGGGTTTGCTGGCCATGCCGACCAGTGCCATGATCTCCAGAAACTCTTCCTGCACATCCAAACACACCCGCACACACCATGAAGAGTCTCATCACAATGTTGAGACAGTCTTAATACAACACTACTTGAGCCTACTGCTAAATACTCAATTACTGGTGACTATTTCCAATAATGGTTCAAAGCGATCAAATGAGTTAAGCACCTCCCAGTGCTTGTGTGAAAATGGACACTCCCTGACTTTTTAGTTTCTATTAAAAGCGCTTGGGAGCTTGAGAAATGCAGTCATTCATTCATTCGTGATTTGAAGCTTTCGTGACTGCAGAAATCCATACTCTTTGGTTCTTTCGGTGAAGTCACGTAGGTAGAAATAAACTAAAATAAATCACGACGTTTCGATCGCAACACAAGCAATCGTCATCAGGTGGAACAACCACAGCGAGAAAATGCTGAAGTAGGCGAGAGAGCTGCCTTGGCAAGAGGTTATATAGGTAAGAAAGGGGGGAGGCAAGGGGGGAGGGGGAGAGGGGGGGTAGGGGAAGTGGGGGGCTGAGTGAGCGCTGGGGAAGAGGATGTGAGGCTGGGGGGGGGGAGTGGGCACGGCTAGAAGTGGGAAGCTGAGTGTGGGACACGGGGGGAAAAATTCTACTAGTAAACTGGCAGGTACGATGGAAACAACCACAACCAGTTAAGGCATGACCTGGTTAATAACATCCTTCCAAAAGATTGTTCCTGGATGTTTTGTTTGAGATGAGGCCCGACAGCTCGTTGGGACACTCTGTCTATAGGAAAGCCACCCACACAGATTCCTATCCAAAACCTGATTCCCACCACCATCCGGCCCAGGAGCATTCCCTCATCAAAACACTGCACCATAGGGCCCAATGCATCTCCGACCAACACCACCTAGCCAGCGAACTGGAACACGTACACCAAGCCCTCAAGATGAATGGGTACTCGCACCACATTATTCGCAAAGCTGTTTCTCCAACTATGGAGACACAATCTCCTGAGAAGCCAATCAAAACCATCATGTTACCATACAGTGAGGAAAAAAGTATTTGATCCCCTGCTGATTTTGTACATTTGCCCACTGACAAAGAAATTATCAGTCTATAATTTTAATGGTAGGTTTAATTGAACAGTGAGAGACAGAATAACAACAAAAAAATCCAGAAAAACGCATGTCAAAAATGTTATAAATTGATTTGCATTTTAATGAGGGAAATAAGTATTTGACTCCCTCTCAATCAGAAAAATGTCTGGCTCCCAGGTGTCTTTTATACAGGTAACGAGCTGAGATTAGGAGCACACTCATAAAGGGAGTGCTCCTAATCTCAGCTTGTTACCTGTATCAAAGACACCTGTCCACAGAAGGAATCAATCAGATTCCAAACTCTCCACCATGGCCAAGACCAAAGAGCACTCCAAGGATGTCAGGGACAAGATTGTAGACCTACACAAGGCTGGAATGGGCTACAAGACCATTGCCAAGCAGCTTGTTGAGAAGGTGACAATAGTTGGTGCGATTATTCGCAAATGGAAAAAACACAAAAGAACTGTCAATCTCCCTCGGCCTGGGGCTCCATTCAAGATCTCACCTCGTGGAGTTGCAATGATCATGAGAACGGTGAGGAATCAGCCCAGAGCTACACGGGAGGATCTTGTCAATGATCTCAAGGCAGCTGGGACCATAGTCACCAAGAAAACAATTGGTAACACACTACGCCGTGAAGGACTGATATCCTGCAGCGCCCGCAAGGTTCCCCTGCTCAAGAAAGCACATATACATGCCCGTCTGAAGTTTGCCAATGAACATCTGATTGTTTCAGAGGACAACTGGGTGAAAGTGTTGTGGTCAGATGAAACCAAAATGGAGCTCTTTGGCATCAACTCAACTCGCCATGTTTGGAAGAGGAGGAATGCTGCCTATGACCCCAAGAACACCATCCCCACCGTCAAACATGGAGGTGGAAACATTATGCTTTGGGGGTGTTTTTCTGCTAAGGGGACAAGACAACTTCACCGCATCAAAGGGCCATGTACCGTCAAATCTTGGGTGAGAACCTCCTTCCCCCAGCCAGGGCATTGAAAATGGGTTGTGGATGGGTATTCCAGCATGACAATGACCCAAAACACACGGCCAAGGCAACAAAGGAGTGGCTCAAGAAGAAGCACATTAAGGTCTTGGAGTGGCCTAGCCAGTCTCCAGACCTTAATCCCATAGAAAATCCGTGGAGGGAGCTGAAGGTTCGAGTTGCCAAACGTCAGCCTCGAAACCTTAATGACTTGGAGAAGATCTGCAAAGAGGAGTGGGACAAAATCCCTCCTGAGATGTGTGCAAACCTGGTGGCCAACTACAAGAAACGTCTGACCTCTGTGATTGCCAACAAGGGTTTTGCCACCAAGTACTAAGTCATGTTTTGCAGAGGGGTCAAATACTGATTTCCCTCATTAAAATGCAAATCAATTTATAAAAATTTTGACATGCGTTTTTCTGGATTTTTGTTGTTGTTATTCTGTCTCTCACTGTTCAAATAAACCTACCATTAAAATTATAGACTGATCATTTCTTTGTCAGTGGGCAAACGTACAAAATCAGCAGGGGATCAAATATCTTTTTCCCTCACTGTACATAGCAGGTGTTACCAAAAATATTTCCAAAATCTTAAACAAACACAAGATTCAGGTCCAATTCAGTACAGTACACAAAATCCGTGATCTAATCCCATCTGTGAAGGAGGTCATTCCTGACATGCAATACCCTGGAGTCTACAAACTCAGTTGTACCTGCGGTAGCAGTTACATTGGGGAAACGAAACGACATGTCTCGGACCGTCTTCGCGAGCACAAGGCAGATCTGAAACACGGCAGAACCAATACCTCCACCGTGGCTGACCATTGTTATAACGCTGTGGGCTCGCATGATATTGTTTTTTTCCGAGACCAAGGTACTCTGTAAACCTTCGGGCAAATATCAAAGGTTTGTTCATGAAGCCATCCAGATATATAAACAGACATAACTTCAACCGAGAAGATGGATAGAAATTGAACAATCATTGGAAGGATGTTATTAACCAGGTAATGCCTTAACTGGTTGTGGTTGTTTCCATCGTACCTGCCGGTTTACTAGTAGATTTTTCCCCCCCGTGTCCCACACTCAGCTTCCCACTTCTAGCCCCGCCTACTTCCCCCCCCCAGCCTCACTTCTTCTCCCCCTAGCGCTCACGCAGCCCCCCACCCCTCCTCTGCTCCACCCCCCCCTCTCTCTCCCCCCCTTGCTCCTCCCTCTTTTCTTACCTATATAACCTCTTGCCACGGCAGCTCTCTCGCCTATTTCAGCATTTTTTCTTGCTGTGGTTGTTCCACCTGATAAAGATCGCTTGTGTTGCGATCGAAACGTCGTGATTCGTTTTATTTTATTTCTACCTACGTGACTTTACCGAAAGAACTGAAGAATATTCATTCATTATTACATTTCTGAAATCTAGCATTTTGGAAGTGGCATTAGTATATCACAAACAATAGATATCCAACCTGCAGGGTCACAAGGTGACTAGTCGATGGAAGAACAGTAAGTAAGTTACCAAGCTACGTGACAATGATTAAGCATTATCACATGTGTTCGCTCATTTTTTTGGGCACTCTCACTTTCTCAAAAAGGAATTGGACAAATGTTCTACATGAACGCCCCAGAAAAAAAGCCTCGCTTTAGCTCAACTTTCCGGTGCAAATTTACGACTACAATTAGCTTGGGGGGGGCAGTTGTTGGGTGCCTAAAACAAAGACGCGGAGCCCCCTCGCCACTTTGGGACTACAGCAGGAACTGGTGAGCGTGGTGTAGCGTGGGTGGAGCACCTGCTCGGCGTCGCACAGCTGGTGAACGTCATCCCCGCCCTGCTCCACAAAGGTCTGGTAGTAGGAGAGGAGGTTGGCGCGTTGCAGCACGCGGAAAAGCTGCAGTTCGCCCAGCGTGCGGGGCTGCGGCGCCAGCTCCTCCATGACAGCGTCTGGCCCCTCTCCTATTTACAGGCAGCACCGTCTGCCTCCATGGCACAATGACACACGTTATGCGAGCACCGATTACGATCTGTAAGCACCACGTGACGATCAATTAATCGCTTAAAATGTACGCTAATGCCCGTGATGCGTGCATCAAATTGAACAGTGCACGTCAAAATAGATTGTTTACGATGTGCAGTGGCACAGCGCCAGCTGCTGGCGAAAAAGGGTAACTGCGGTGTACGGCAGTACCCACGTCAGCAGGCCACGATAGACACGAGAGGGGGACATCTCGGGGGGTAAAGGTCACAGAGGGGGGGGGGGCCCATCGGGAAGCCTCGGGAACCCGCTAGAAGGTTCCAGAGAGGGGGCGTGGCCGGGGCGGAGCGAGGCCACGCTGAGAGTAAAAGAGGGGCCCCTGTGAGGGACCTCGTGGCTGTTGCTGGAAGTGGCATCCCCGTCGTGCTGTTCCAGATCGTCGTTACCATCTCGTCGTCGCTGTTGTCTTCGCTCGACGTTGTGCTGCTAGATAGTTGTTGGCCGTCTCTGCTCAGCGCCGTCAGTGTTAGACGGCTAGTGTTGTGCGCAGGCTAGCAACAGTACAAGTGCGTACCCACGTAGGGTGTGTATTATCCTGACGGCGCTCGTGAAATAAAAGAAGTGCCTCCAAGTCTCACTGTCTCCGGAGTTAGTCACTACAAATGCATGGGAATTAAACAAAAAGTGATATTCAAATGTCATATTCACGTAATATAGTGAACAAAACTGCATCCATGAAATATAAAGGAAAAAAAACAATGAACAAGATACGAGGCAAAAAATGTTACACATCTTTAATCACAACATTATCATGAATTTATACAATTGAATTAATAACTGCAGTGAATTTCTACATGCCTACTGGTTTGGTTTGCATATGGGGCAGTGATATGGCCAGTACCACAGAGTCACCATGGTCCCCAGAGCACACTGCACCAGGTACTGATTTAAGGTGAGGTAAGATTCTGAAGTTCATAGCCAGAATATCAACTTAGGCTACTGGGATAAGAGGCACGTTGTAAGAAACCACTATGCTTCTAGATTTGAAGTTTTCGTGACTGCAATGACCCATAATCTTTGGTTCTTTCGGTAAAGTCACGTAGGTAAAAATAGAATAAAGTTAATCAAATAACGACGTTTCGGAGGCAACACAAACTTCCGTCATCAGGTGTAACTAGCACAGCAAGATTACTGATGTATCAGGTGTAACTAGCACAGCAAAATTACTGATGGATCAGGTGTAACTGGCACAGCAAAATTACTGATGTATCAGGTGTAACTAGCACAGCAAAATTACTGATGTATCAGGTATAACAATCACAGCAAAATCACTGATGTATCAGGTGTAACTAGGAAAGCAAAATTACTGATGTATCAGTAGTAACTAGCACAGCAAAATTACTGATGTATCAGTAGTAACTAGCACAGCAAAATTACTGATGTATCAGTAGTAACTAGCACAGCAAATTTGCTGATGTATCAGGAGTCACTAGCACAGTAAAATTACCGATGTATCAGTAGTAACTAGCACAGCAAAATGACTGATGTATCAGTAGTAACTAGCACAGCAAAATTACTGATGTATCAGCTGTAACTAGCACAGCAAAATTACTGATGTATCAGGTGTAACTAGCACAGCAAAATTACTGATGTATCAGTAGTAACTAGCACAGCAAAATTACTGATGTATCAGTAGTAACTAGCACAGCAAAATTACTGATGTATCAGCTGTAACTAGCACAGCAAAATGACTGATGTATCAGGAGTAACTAGCACAGCAAGATTAATGATGTATCAGGTGTACCTAGCACAGCAAAATTACTGATGTATCAGTAGTAACTAGCACAGCAAAATTACTGATGCATCAGTAGTAACTAGCACAGCAAAATTACTGATGTATCAGGTGTAACTAGCACAGCAAAATTACTGATGTATCAGGAGTAACTAGCACAGCAAAATTACTGATGTATCAGGTATAACAATCACATCAGTAATTTTGTGCTAGTTACACCTGGTGACGGAAGCTTGTGTTGCCTCCAAAACGTCGTGATTTGATTAACTTTATTTTATTTTTACCTACGTGACTTTACCAAAAGAACCAAAGAGCATGAACCACTATACTGTACCACCATTCCCTCACACAGACTCAAACTTGAATGTGTCAACCTTTGAAAAAGTGCAGGTGACATGATGCAAAGAGAACGTCTACTGAAATATTTAACAATCCAAGCTAATAATCACCCCTTGATTGAATTTCCTCGAAGAGGATCAATTAAGCCTCTGTTTGGAACTGGAATGCCTCATGCCTAGAATGTCAATAGGCCAATATAATATCATTGGCATAGCAACGACAACAATTATGATCTCTTGTTCTGGTACATTAACTTTGGGTAGAGTAGTGGCACAGTGATTAGAGCAATGCTCTATGAACCTTGATGATCTGAACTGTATTGCGGCTCATGACTAACAATGGCAAAGCGATTTAAAGCTTTCGCGACTTTCTACGTGACTTTACCGAAAGAACCGAGAACATAATGGCAAAGCGATATCGGAACTTGATCTCCCCCTCGCCTACCCACAGACCAGCGTGGTGAAGTGTGGTCACAAACCCCCATGACGAGCACGGAGTATAAACGCCTTCATCCAGCGGCGGATTGACAAAAGGGCTGAGAATAATTCTTCATTCATGTCACATTTGTGTCAATTCGAGAAATAATTACCAATGCAGGATAGGCAGTGCCTGGCATCGTGAATTAGCCGATTGCCACTGCTGTATTGAGCGAAATATTTGTGGAGACGTGACCATCCGTCCGGATACGTGCGTCCGTCACCCCTTATCCGCCAACCAAACTTTTGTCGAATGTATATCAAACCAAACTTTTGTCTAATGTATATCAACCAAACTTTTGTCTAATGTATATCAAACCAAACTTTTGTCTAATGTATATCAACCAAACTTTTGTCTAATGTATATCAACCAAACTCTTGTCTAATGTATATCAACCAAACTTTTGTCTAATGTATATTAACCAAACTTTTGTCTAATGTATATCAACCAAACGTTTGTCTAATGTATATCAACCAAACGTTTGTCTAATGTATATCAACCAAACTTTTGTCTAATGTATATCAACCAAACTTTTGTCTAATGTATATCAACCAAACTTTTGTCTAATGTATATCAACCAAAATTTTGTCTAATGTATATCAACCAAACTTTTGTCTAATGTATATCAACCAAACTTTAGTCTAATGTATATCAAACCAAACTTTTGTCTAATGTATATCAACCAAACTTTTGTCTAATGTAAATCAACCAAACTTTTGTCTAATGTATATCAAACTAAACTTTTGCCTAATGTATATCAACCAAACTTTTGTCTAATGTATATCAACCAAACTTTTGTCTAATGTAAATCAACCAAACTTTTGTCTAATGTATATCAACCAAACTTTTGTCTAATGTATATCAACCAAACTTTTGTCTAATGTAAATCAACCAAACTTTTGTCTAATGTATATCAACCAAACTTTTGTCTAATGTAAATCAACCAAACTTTTGTCTAATGTATATCAACCAAACTTTTGTCTAATGTAAATCAACCAAACTTTTGTCTAATGTATATCAACCAAACTTTTGTCTAATGTATATCAACCAAACTTTTGTCTAATGTATATCAACCAAACTTTTGTCTAATGTACATCAAACCAAACTTTTGTCCGATGTATATCAAACCAAACTTTTGTCCGATGTATATCAACCAAACTTTTGTCCAATGTATATCAACCAAACTTTTGTCTAATGTATATCAACCAAACTTTTGTCTAATGTATATCAACCAAACTTTCGTCTAATGTATATCAAACCAAACTTTTGTCTAATGTATATCAACCAAACTTTTGTCTAATGTATATCAACCAAACGTTTGTCTAATATATATCAACCAAACTTTTGTCTAATGTATATCAACCAAACGTTTGTCTAATGTATATCAACCAAACTTTTGTCTAATGTATATCAACCAAACTTTTGTCCGATGTATATCAACCAAACTTTTGTCCGATGTATATGATCTGGTGTGACAGCATATATATTGCACAATCCACGGCTGGGTGGAGGGTAACGTCACAATTAAACAATCACACTTTTGAGCGCCAGGCAGGCAGGAATCCAGGCAGGAAGGCAGCCAGCAATTATTGCTTCCTGATATGATTACAGTATACATGAGCTTAGGCTTTTAGGTGTTTTTTTTTGCATAATGAAAAAAGACAAATATCCCCCTCCCCCCCCCACGTGTAGCCTGTAACAGACTGTCGGGGCAAGTGCTGTTAGCGAGCACCTATGAAGACCGGCACTGTGGCACACGAGGGGGCGTGTGGCCAACACCCACGCCTTTGTCTCCCCAAAGTGGCGATGTTTTACACACACCACACACACACACATCCCGGTTCAGATAAATCGTCACCGGTGTTGGCCGTGAGCAGGACTCGGAACTCAGGTGGCCAGGTTCGTAGAGCGGAGCGCTAACCGCTAACCGCTACACTACTGCTCCCCACATTGTGATATGCCAGACGCCTGAGCACGGACACACACACGCACGCGTTAAGTGTCACTTGGATTCTATGCAGCACTTTTTGGCTTCGTGTTAGTTGGATTTGGAAAATTGATTGGATAACCCCCCCCCCCCCCCTTTAAAATGCATTCCACGTAATAATTCCTAAAATGCCCTCTTTTTCATTTTAACAAAATAAGGCGAATGGATGTGGCGTGCCACAAGAATTCCCTGAAGAGCAATCCGGGCAACGAGATCCTCTCCTCGGCTTTGGCGGACATTCCGGGTTTTGGCGAGACCCACGATCCAACTTTTCCACGAAAACAGTACTTGACTTTAACCCAACCCCCGGGAAGGTGATGATGGGATGAGTCCCCAACCCCCCCCCCCCCCCCCCCCCCCAATTCGCGACTTTTCAGATTTTAGTTGCATTCCACTCCACAAACAACAGAAGCACGGCACGCGTGCACCGCATTCACGCACGAAAGTCGGGTTTCATCGGGGCAGTGTTCTTAGCACCTGTACGTTCATTGACGATTAACAGCACCGCGGTTCTCGTGTATTCACCCTGCACGCATTCACCCAACCTCCGCGAATGTCGCCGTCAATTCTCTAGCCCCCAACATTGCAGCAAAATCACCGCATGACAACACGAATCCGTGCCACGTGGGGAGAGGGAATGGTGTAATTTGATTACCTAGCTCGCATAAGCAGCCGCCCCGCCCGATTGGTCCGCGCTCACGGGACGCGAGCCGCGAGGACCAATCGCTGGCGTCGTCTCGTAAGCGCCGCCTTGTCCGCGCTAGGAAATGCAATCGCGGGGGAGGGGGAACCCCCGCCCACACCCACCCCTCCCACCCCCCCACCCTACCCACCCACACCCCCCACCCTACCCACCCACAGCCCCCACCCTACCCACCCACACCCCCCACCCTACCCACATCCTCCACCCTACCCACCCACACCCCCCACCCTACGCACCCACACCCCCACCCTATTCACCCACACCCCCACCCCCCACCCTACTCACCCCCCACCCTATCCACCCACACCCCCACCCTACCCACCTGCACTCAACCACCCACACGCTCCCCACCACCCACTTCCCCGAGCCTACCCACACCCCCCACCCTACGCACACCCCCCCACCCTACCCACCCACACCCCCACCCTACCCACATCCCCACACCACCCACACCACCATCCACCACCCCCACCTTACCCACCCACACCCCCACCCTACTCACCCACACCCCCACCCTACTCACCCACACCCCCACCCTACTCACCCACATCCCCCACCCTACCCACCCCCACCCTACTCACCCACACCCCCACCCTACTCACCCACATCCCCCACCCTACCCACCCACACCCCCCACCCTACTCACCCACACCCCCACCCTACTCACCCACACCCCCCACCCTACCCATCCACCACCCCCCCACCCTACCCACCCACACCCCCACCCTACTCACCCACACCCCCCACCCTATCCATCCACCACCCCCCACCCTACCCATCCACATCCCCCACCCCCCCACCCTACTCACCCACACCCCCCACCCTACCCACCCTACTCACCCACACCCCCCACACCACCACCCACGCCCACCCCCCACCCTACCCACCCACGCGTGTAAAAACAACAAAAAAGACCCCGCAGCACCCCCACCTCCTCCACCGCTTCTCTCTCTATTTTTTTTTGTTACTTTCGGACATTTATTTTTAACACTTCGCGTTGCTCGTTCAGCCGCGTGCTGCCCACGTTAACGTGTTGGCTCGTCGACGGTGGGTGGTGGTGGAGTGGTGGGTGGTGGTGGAGTGGTGGGTGGTGGTGGAGTGGTGGGTGGTGGTGGAGTGGTGGGTGGTGGTGGGTGGTAAGGCAGCAGGCAGGGCCACGTCAACCAGGGTGGTGGTGGTGGAGTGGTGGGTGGTGGTGGTGGAGTGGTGGGTGGTGGTGGGTGGTGGTAAGGCAGTAGGCAGGGCCACGTCAACCAGGGTGGTGGTGGTGGGTGGTGGTGGAGTGGTGGTGGGTGGTGGTAAGGCAGTAGGCAGGGCCACGTCAACCAGGGTGGTGGTGGAGTGGTGGTGGGTGGTGGAGTGGTGGTGGAGTGGTGGGTGGTGGTGGAGTGGTGGTGGTGGAGTGGTGGGTGGTGGTGGGTGGTAAGGCAGCAGGCAGGGCCACGTCAACCAGGGTGGTGGTGGTGGGTGGTGGAGGGTGGTGGTGGGTGGTGGTGGAGTGGTGGGTGGTGGTGGTAAGGCAGCAGGCAGGGCCACGTCAACCAGGGTGGTGGTGGTGGAGTGGTGGTGGTGGTGGAGTGGTGGGTGGTGGTGGTGGGTGGTGGTAAGGCAGCAGACAGGGCCACGTCAACCAGGGTGGTGGTGGAGTGGTGGTGGTGGAGTGGTGGTGGTGGAGTGGTGGTGGTGGTGGAGTGGTGGTGGTGGTGGAGTGGTGGTGGAGGTACACCATGCTTCTGCCTGTCACCCTGACGCCAAATTCACGAGAACTCGCCCGACGTTTTGCGCGGCTCGTCCGATGATCAATTGTACTTTAAAAGAGCCCTCTTAAATAAATTAATAATAATAAAAAACCCTGTGCCTGGCGGATGTGTAGTATGTCAGAAATTCACCTGGCGAGCTGTGGATGACGAGGACCTCTGTTGACAGGCGCCGTTGATGGGAGACGCCGCGGCCCACTGACTTATCCCAAGTTCCTCTCGTGTTCCGTTCCACCAGGAGTTGCTCGTGTGGCTCCGTCTGGGATAGAGAAAGAGAGCGCGAATAGGCGAGAGCTTGGGGCGCTTTAGCTCGGCTGCCCACCGTGACGCCGTGCTCCCAACCCGCGCACATTTGACGATAACGCAACGCTCACTCAAAACTCAACCAACTCAGGCGCGCGGCTTACAGAGCCTCCCCGCACGCTGCTCACCCCAGCCCCAGTTGCTCTGTGCACTGTATTGGCCAAGCACACACCACGCCACTCCTCTCTCCACCCACACACTGCACACACACACACACTTACCACCACCCCCCACACAAAACCACAGCGCGCGGCGCGCACAGTCACCTCTCAACTCTCCCAGGGTACACACACACACATGCACACACACACACATGCACACACACGCACGCACGCAGCTCCACCCATACACCCACACAGCACACACACACAGACAGAGCACGTGCATTCACACACCCACCCACCCACACACTGTCACCCTCCCCACCCAGTGCACACACACACACACACAATGCCACCCCCTCTACAGCTATAGCCCCACACACAATCCGATCCCTCCCCACAAAGATCCCACCCCGTATAGCCTGAACAGACTATTGGGGCAAGTGCTGTTAGCGAGCACCTATTAAGGCCGCAAACGGCACACGAGGGGTAGTGGATAACCAACACCACGCCCGACCGCCTTTGTCTCCCTAGCGGCGATGTTTACACATCGCACCAGCTACTCATTTTAGGCCGAGTCAACCTAGGGTAGGTCCAAGACCGGTTCAGATAATCGTCACCGATGTTGGCCGTGAGCGGGAATCGAACCCGGGTGGCCAACCGCGACATTACCCCCGACACCCACATACAGTCGTCATGCATTCAACCTCACCCCCTTATACCGTACGCTCACCCCACATCATGTATACACGCATAAAGTGCGTCCCCTTTCCACCCCACAGCGCATACAATTTCACCTCTTCACCCACATCACACTGAGTCATACACACATGTGCTAACACCTCTCCACCCACAGGACTCCACACCACCCACTGCACATACACATTCAGAGACTCACGGCCTGACTGTTCACAGACCAGGGCAAAACCCCGACTCTTTCTACCCACTGCCACTACACACACGCACAAATTCCACCTCTCTCCACCCACGATACACATTACACCAACCGCACACACTACACCCACCACACACACCACACACACACTACACACCACACACACACTACACACCACACACACACTACACACACACCTCACACACACTACACACCTCACACACACTACACACCACACACACTACACACCACACACACTACACACCACACACACACTACACACACACCTCACACACACTACACACCTCACACACACCACACACACTACACACCTCACACACACTACACACCACACACACTACACACCACACACACACTACACACACACTACACACCACACACACTACACATACACTACACACCACACACACTACACACCAAACACACACTACACACACACTACACATCACACACACACTACACCCACCACATACTACAAACACACACTACACACCACACACACAGTACACACCACACACACTACACCCACCACATACTACACCCACACTACACACACCACACACACACTACACACATCACACACTACACACACACTACACACCACACACACACTACACACATCACACACACTGCACACACACTACACACCACACACACACTACACACCACACACACTACACACACACTACACACCACACACACACTACACACCACACACACACTACACACACACACACTACACACCACACACACACACCACACACACACTACACCCACCACACACTTCACACACTACACACACCACACACACACTACACACACCACACACACACACTACACACACACACTACACACATCACACACACACTACACACCACACACACACTACACACCACACACACTACACATACACTACACACCACACACACTACACACCAAACACACACTACACACACACACTACACCCACCACACACTTCACACACACTACACACACCACACACACCACACACAAACTACACACACACTACACACACACACTACACACATCACACACACACTACACACCACACACACACTACACACACACTACACACCACACACACTACACATACACTACACACCACACACACTACACACCAAACACACACTACACACACACACTACACACACACTACACCCACCACACACTTCACACACACTACACACACCACACACACCACACACAAACTACACACACACTACACACACACACTACACACCACACACACACACACTACACCCACCACATACTACACACACACTACACACCACACACACACTACACACCACACACACTACACCCACCACATACTACACCCACACTACACACACCACACACACACTACACACATCACACACTACACACACACTACACACCACACACACACACTACACACATCACACACACTGCACACACACTACACACCACACACACACTACACACCACACACTACACACACACTACACACTACACACACTACACACCACACACACACTACACACACACCACACACACACTACACACACACACTACACACCACACACACACACTACACACCACACACACACTACACCCACCACACACTTTACACACACTACACACACCACACACACACTACACACACCACACACACTACACACCACACACACACTACACACACACACTACACACATCACACACACACTACACACACTACACATACACTACACACCACACACACACTACACACACACTACACACCAAACACACACACCACACACACACTACACACCACACACACACTACACCCACCACACACTTCACACACACCACACACACCACACACACACTACACACCACACACACACTACAGCCACCACATACTACACACACTACACACACCACACACACACTACACACACCACACACACACTACACACATCACACACACGCTACACACACGCTACACAGCACACACACACTACACACCACACACTACACACCACACACACTACACACACAATACACACCACACACACACTACACACACACTACACACCACACACACACTACACCCACCACATACTACACACACACTACACACACCACACACACTACACACATCACACACACACACACTACACACTACACACACACTACACACCACACACACACTACACACACACTACACACCACAAACACACTACACACCACACACACACTACACACACACACTACACACCACACACACACTACACCCACCACACACTTCACACACACTACACACACCACACACACACTACACACACCACACACACCACACACACACTACACACTACACACACACACTACACCCACCACACACACCACACACACTACACACACACCACACACACACTACACACACACTACACACCACACACACACTACACATCACACACTACACACACCACACACACTACATACACACTACACACACACTACACACCACACACACACTACACCCACCACATACTACACACACCACACACACACTACACACACACTACACACCACACACACACTACACCCACCACATACTACACACACACTACACACACCACACACGCACTACACACACCACACACACTACACACATCACACACACACTACACACACTACACACCACACACACACTACACACCACACACACTACACACACACACTACACACCACACACACACTACACACACCACACACTTCACACACACCACACACACTACACACACACTACACACCACACACACACTACACCCACCACATACTACACACACACACACTTCACACACCACACACACACTACACACACACACTACACACCACACACACACACTACACACCACACACACTACACCCACCACACACTTCACACACACTACACACACCACACACACACTACACACACCACACCACACACACACATCACACTACACACCACCATACACTACACACACTACACACCACACACACACTACACACCACACACACACTACACCCACCACATACTACAGACACACTACACGCACCACACTACACACACAACACACACACTACACACACTACACCCACCACACAACAACAACCGCCATTCACCACTAAGTGGCGGTGACGTCACCACGACGCTTGTGCCAGGCTATGTGCACCCTGAGGCCACGTGAAGTGTCGAACGCCCGCTGGCAGGAGGTCACGGGGCAGACCCAGGTGCCACGGGTCGACTGACTGAGATGATTGGCTGATGCACCACCTGTGCCCCCTACTGTGCCAATCTGCTGTGCTTCAGCCACCCGGCGCTCCGCTCGTTGTTGTGAGCGTCGCTCCTCCGCCCTCCGTTGTTGTTGGAGGGCGACTACCTCCAACTGCCCAGTAGCATCCTTCACGAGCCTCCTCCACAGAGGCCGATCTTGACACCGCTGGTACCGGTCATCGGCAAGTCCACTCAGCTCCACATCCTCCTGTACCACATCACTCCATCTCTTCTCTAGCCCGTGCCGCGCCCGTTTAGCCCCCTCGATCCGGCCGAACAAAAGCTGTTTCGGCATGCGGTGGCTGGGCATGCGGGCTACATGACCCAGCCAACGCAGCCTTCCCCGCCGGAGGAGCTCACCGATGGGACCGTGTCCAGATCTTTCAAGGATTTGTGAGCTCCTCACACAATCCAGCCTGCTGGTTAAACCCAGGATGGATAGTAGACAGGCCAGCCTAAATGTTTCTAACCGGCGAAGATGTTCCATTTTGGGGGGTCCAAGTTTCGCAAGCGTAGAGAAGGGAGGGAATGACCGTAGCCGAGAAGACCTGAAGCTTAGTGCAGAGCGACAGACCAGGTAGCTTCCACACAGCATTACGCAACCGATGAAAAGATATTGCCGCTCGACTGATTCGGAGTGAGACCTCTGCTGTTAAACTGGAGCCGGTCATAAGCACACTCTCCACTCTCTCCACTCTCTCCACAACTGCCCCATCATCGATTGGGAGTTGTAGGGGTGGAGTGTCCGATGGTACAAAATACCCAGGCAGGTGCTTAGTTTTGGTGGGGCTGATGGTAAGGCCCCACCTCTTAGTGGCACGCTCCAGTCTCAGCAGCAGCGTCTCCAACT